ATGCTAGGAGGGAGGGAGGATGGATGAGGAAATGTGGAAGGTAGACGAGGCCGGCACACCCTGAGAGGGCTCTGCCCCAGTCAGCAGCCAGATTGCTACGGCTTGCTGGGGCCTTCCAGGTCCTGGGCCTTTGGAGATGCGGCCACAGCCTGCTTCCTTTCTGCCCTCTGGGCCGGGAGTAGCGGGGAATGCCTTGTGGAGCCCTATGGACAGTGGTCAGAGCCAGGATCAGGAGGGGGTCGGCAGGCTGTGGCTTGAACCCTGAATGCCTCAGTCTGGCTGTGTGACCTGAGGAGCCCCTCATTCTCTCTGGCTCAGGGTCCCCTTCGGGGTGATGAGCCTTTGTCTTTGGAAACCCCAAATCGATGGCATATGTTGTCTCCAGAAGCTGTGGGAGGAAGTGGAAAGAGCTAGTGTGGGCAGGTGTGGAGAGGGGCACCTGAGGTCTCGGGGACCACCCACAAACACCCGGGCAGGGACGCTGCAATGGGAATTCAAGTTGTAAAATCTCTGCGGATGGCTGCTGCAGGGAGGCAGGAAGTAGGAAAGTGGGGTGCTGAGTATCCTTTATAGGGAGGGGGCTGCCTGGGCCTGGGCCCCAGAGCTCAGCAGGCAGGAGAAGCACTGAGGCCTGGCCCTGTCATGGAAGCCTTCCCCCGCGCCCAGGCCTGGGGCTTCCTCCTCCCGCAGCATCTGGCCAGAGGGGCACCCTGTTCAGGACTTCTCTTCTGTAAGCGCTTTGTCCCTGGAGGGGGCTGGACCCTCTCCTCCTCCTGCCTTTCCGAGGTCCCCACTCCCCAAGTCCTCATCCTCTGCCTTCCTGTGGGTCTTCCTTTGTACGAAGCACGTGGCAGTTTCTCCCAAGCTGTCTGAGGACATCTCTCAAGAATGTGCTTGGGGCTACCTCTGCCAAGAAGCCACCCGCGGCCCTGCTCCCCCATAGTCTTCCCTTTCCAGCACTCCCTTTGCTGCCAAACCTAGGAGGCAAGGGTACCCAGCTCCCTGGCGCTGCCAGCTCTGCCCTCTTAGTCCTTAACCCCTCGGGGAATGCATTGCCCCACCCCTCACCCAGTGTGTCCTCTGTCCTATGGGGCCTGATGAGGAGCCAGGTACTCAGTAACCGTTGGGCGCGTGGACGCCCCCGTCCTCGGCACTGGCCTGCTCCAGGCCACAAGGGTTGAGCTACGGGGATCCTGTGGTGATCAGAAGGGTACCAGACCCGCCCGCCTGGGTTTTGCAGTCAACCCTTAGACAGATACTAGCATCCCTCTTTATCCCAATCCATTTGGCTTCCGAGTTGGGAGAGCAAGGCTGGGTAGTGAGAGACTCCGCGCTCTCTGATCTGTTTGGTTCTGGAATTTTAGGTAGCAAAGGGTTTTCTAAAAACAGGCTGAGATCTGTACAGGTCTTGAGTTTGGATAGCAAGGCATGCCTATAGTTGAAGTTGGGTGTAATCGGGGCGGAGTCGCTGCAGGGCTCATGGGGCTGCCTCCTCTCTTCCTACTCCGTTGAATGAGCACCCCCCCAATGTCTGCCTGTCCCCTGTCTCTCTCTGCTGTCTGCCCCAGTCGTGCCCTCCACACCGTGGTCCCACAGTCTCACTTGGATAACATGAGCCTAGAATGAATTTCATCCTCACCTCCCACCCTGCCCTGGCCCCTCTCAGCCTGGATGTTTCAGGTTTGTCAGCCTCATCTTTGCCCGCTGGCTCTGTCTGGGTCACCTCGTTCTGGTTGTCACTTCCTCAGCCTCCACTGGCTTTCTCTTCAACCCACAGCCCCACCCAGTGTGGGCCTGGAGGACACCTGTCCCTCCATGGGCCCTCACCTGACTGGCCTTGTCCTTCCTGTCCTCCCCAGTTAGCCCCAGGGGACTTCTAAACCCAGCCCCTGCCTCCTGGACTTGATGTCCGGCCCTCGCTGACCCGGCAGCTGAGAGCACGCTGTGGGTCAGGCAGACCCCCGTTCGAGTGCTAACACAGGATGGTAGCTTCCTCCTGGACCTGGCTCCTCGAGGGTCAGGGCAGATTCTGGCCCTTCTGGAAATAATGCTCTGTCTGAGGCTGGGTGCACCAGGGCTGGGTCAGGCCTCCCAGAGCCATGGCGGAGGGCCCTTGAGATCGGAGGGCCCAAGCCTACTCGCTGGGATAGTGCCTGTTGGGAGTCCAGGTGCTTGGGGCGGAGTTGGGACAAAACCCTGGCTGAGGCTTCGTGGGCTGGCGGATGAGAGGCGGACTTTCCAGTCCTGGTACCATGAGCCTCCTCATCCCTAAAATGGGGAAACAATAGCACTGAGTCCCTAGGGTTTTCATGAAGGTTCTTTGGGATCATGCTTGTAAAACTTGCCCACCACTGGCTCGGCTTAACAATCAAGGGTAACTATTATGATGATGATTAAATGATTTACCAATATTATTGTCATCTAGGAACCTATTTTCTCTATTTGGCCCCAATTCATTACCCCAGACCCCCCGCCCCCACCCACCCACCCAATCTTGCCTCATCATTTTTCAAAACAATGCCATGGTCTTTGAGAGGTTCTGGTTGTTAATGATTTTTAAAAAATAGACACTCAAAGCAATTTCCTCAATTGTTCTCCCCTTCCTCACCCCCAAACAGCATATGGACAGACATGACCTCATTCCGGGAAAGGGGATCACAGGCCAGGCCGCGCCTGTGGATAGTGGTCCATGGGTTGAGCTGCCTCCGGAGGGAGTGGAGGGCGTGGGCCTGCCCAAGACCCCAGGTGTGGGATGTGGTACCTGCGTTTAGCCTTCCTCCCCGGCCGCCACATCCTGGCTGGGCCCCAGTCCTGCAGCCTAGCTACACCGCCCGCTAGCTGTGTGACTTAGTGCCAGTGACTTAACTTCTCTGGGTCTCAGTTTCCTCCTCTGTAAAATGGGGATGACACCAGCCCTACCTCACAGAGCTATTGAGAGGATTAAATGAAATGCTGTCCTAGCCGGGGTTACCTTCCATACCCAGAGGCCAGCCATGGGGGCCACAGGATCATGGCCCTTCTCCTTTGAGAAAGAGCCAGGCCTTCGAAACCTGGAATCCAAAGCTGTCAGAGGTAGCAGGGTCTGTTCATTATTGAATCCAGGCCTCTCAGTGGGCAGGGGGAAACTGAGGCCCAGAGAGGCACCTGTACAGTGGGCCAGCACAAACCCGTGGTAGGGGCTCAGACTGTAGCTATTCGGCATCAGGACGTCTCCCAAGGACAAGTGCTCTCTTGTCATGGGTCACGACCCTCTTTGGGCCTTAGTCTCTCCATCTGTACATAGGGATGCCTAGACAATGCAAGTAATGAGTGTCTAATGTGTGCTAGGCCTGCTCTGGAGACCAGAGTACTCACCTTCTCTGTTCAGAAACTGTTTTAGTGGGAGAGAAGCAAATGGCCAGTGAAAGCAAAAAGGCTGTTTAACTTGGTAAATGAGTCAATTTCAGAATATTTTTTTTTATGGTGAAAGGAGTCATGCTTGTGAAATAATTCAAATGCTATAAAAGTGAATACAGCAGAAAATGAAACGGGCTATGCTTTCCTCATTCCCACACGCAGAGGGCCCACTTTAACAGTCCGGCGTGCAGCCTTCGGGACCTCTTCCCGTAAGTCTCCAGGCAGAAATAATTTATATGCACGAAAAAGGATAACTTTAAATAAGATGATAGTCAGCAGTGATTCTGTAACTTGCTTTTCTTAAGGTGACAGAGTGTGGATACTTTCCCTTTGTTGATACATTACTTATAAACCATCCCCTCATCTTCTTCCTTCCACCCTAAAAATTGCGCACACAGCCACCAGTCACCCTCCAAAGAGGCCGGCCCCATTTCCAACACCCCCAGCCCTGGGACAAGGTGCCTGTTCCTCCACATCCTGGCTGCTCTGACTGGGAAAATGGAATCTTGGTTCCTTTTGCATTTGGTCGATGACTGGTGAGGCTGAGTGTTTTTGCACTTGTCCGTTGGTTCCTCGTAATTTGTCTTTGGTAATTTCTCTGTCTAGGGTCATTGCCCATTTTCCTGTCTGGAAGTTCACCCAAGTGTGTGCAGGAAACGCACAACCCGGCCCAGAAATGCAATGTTGAGGAAAGCACTGAGCTTATGCAGTTTTTATAAGCAGGAATTTGGGGCATTGTGGACGGCCCTCCCTGGGGCAGGGTTGTTGCATGTAAGTAACCATGATAACCTCACGGTCCTGTATGTCCTTCTGTTCTAGAGAAAACCGGGAAGATCCTGACGGAGTTCCTTCGTTTTTATGAGGACCAGTATGGCGTCGCCCTCTTCAACAGCATGCGCCACGAGATTGAGGGCACCGGGACACCGCAGGCCCAGCTGCTCTGGCGAAAGGTGAGAGGCGCCCAGTGGGGTATAGGGCGGGTCCTGGTCAGGCTCCGACACCCACTCACCAAGTGATCTCGAGTGGGTGACTTCCTTCTCTGGGCCTCCCATTGTTGCCATGATGGTCTCTAAGGGCCCCACCCAGCTTCCGAATAGACAGATGACCTGGTGGTGTTGTCGAGCCCCCTTTATCACTGTGGGTGACTCCCCCCGCAGCTCTTCCCCTCCATCAGCAGAACTGGGCGCTGGCGTCATGTTGACAGGCCCAGGTTCAAGCCCAGCTCCTCCTCTCATTGGTTGTATGCCTGTGAGCAAATGACCTCGCCTCTTGGAGCCTCAGTGTCTCCTCTATGAAATGGGATGAACACACCTCCTGGACAGAGTGGCTGTGAACATTCAAGATTCGAGTCAGCTGGGTGCCTGGAGCAGGGAAGATGCTTGGAGAGTACTGGCGGACACTGTCGTCATCAGCGGCCTCGTCATCGTCCCGTTGGTAGTAGGATTATGTTTGCCCCGTAAATATTTGTCCAGTGAGGAGCTGGAAGCTCCCTGGCTCTGGCTGGGGGTCAGCATGGGCTGAAGCAGGCAAGCAAAGCCTCCTGGGAAGGGGCCCCTGGGATGATTGGCCCCAGAGGAAGCGAGGGAATGTTAGAAGCACAGGTAGGGTCGGACCCCGAGAACCGGAGCTGAGATGAGCCTCTGGGTGGACAAATACCGGCCTTGCTCCTTGGGACGGCTGGACTATCATCACACAGAGCAGGCGGCCCAGCTGCGCAACCTGGTGCAGTGTGGTGACTTTCCTCATCCGTTAGTGTATGGACCATCAGGTGCTGGTAAAAAGACAAGAATTATGTGTATTCTACGTGAAGTTTATGGTGTTGGAGTGGAAAAATTGAGAATTGAACATCAGACCATCACGACTCCGTCCAAAAAGAAAATTGAAATTAGCACTATTGCAAGCAATTACCACCTTGAAGTTAATCCCAGTGATGCTGGAAATAGTGACCGGGTAGTAATTCAGGAGATGTTGAAAACAGTGGCACAATCACAGCAACTTGAAACAAACTCTCAAAGAGACTTTAAAGTGGTTTTATTGACCGAGGTTGACAAACTCACCAAAGATGCTCAGCATGCCCTGCGCAGAACCATGGAAAAGTATATGTCCACCTGCAGATTGACCTTGTGTTGCAATTCTACATCTAAAGTGATACCACCCATTCGTAGTAGGTGCCTGGCAGTTCATGTGCCCGCTCCCAGCATTGAAGATATTTGCCATGTGTTATCTACTGTGTGCACGAAGGAAGGTCTGAATCTTCCTTCACAACTGGCTCATAGATTTGCAGAGAAGTCCTGCAGAAATCTCAGAAAAGCCTTACTTATGTGTGAAGTCTGCAGAGTGCAACAATATCCTTTCACTGCAGATCAAGAAGTCCCTGAAACAGATTGGGAGGTATATCTGAGGGAGACGGCCAATGCTATTTTTCAGTCGCCGGCTTCACAAAGGCCCCCTTAAAGTTCGGGGAAAACCCATGAGGTTTTTCCTCAATGTAATCCTCCTTGAAAAATTAAGGAAGGGCCTTCTCTCAGAACTATTACATAATTGTGATGGACAACTGAAAGGAGAAGTGGCCCAGACGGCAGCTTACTATGAACATCGTCTACAGCTGGGTAGCAAAGCCGTTTATCACTTGGAAGCATTTGTGGCCAAATTTATGGCACTCTATAAGAAGTTCATGGAGGATGGATTAGAAGGCATGATGTTCTGACATCTATCAGTAATTCTTCCTAATATTTCTCAGTATTAGCATTTATATTTAGCTTATGTTGGAAGAGCTGCAGGTAAAATAAACTAACGTTACTTAAAAAAAAAACCAAAAAAACAAACACACAGGTAGAGCTCTGAGTGCCAGGCTGGAAGCTGCCCATACTGGGTCTGAACGCTTGGGGTGAGAGGCCAGTCCTTGCTCCTCTGGGAGGGAGCCCCGTGTTAGCCCAGGAAAGTCCTATTTGAGGGTACCGCACGCCCCTGGGTAGGGGTCATTCTCTTTCAGTGATCTTCGCCCTCTGCCCCCTGGATGGCCAGGCAGGTGGCAGAGGGAGGGGTGATGAGGAAAAAGGACGCCAGACCCATCTCCTCTGCAGGTGGCCTGGCCCTGGAATGGCCGAGCAGTAGCCAGAGTCTACTGACTCTTGGCAGTGGCCCCTGAGCAGAGTGCCCACCAGCTTCTCTCTGGGGAACCTGCCTGGCTGAGTTGATCCCTCTGGAAGTGGGGTGCGAACCAGGTCAGCCAGGCAACCCCAGTGCCTGGCGCTCAGGTCATTAGTGGTTGAATTCCATGACTAGTGGGCTGCGCAGTTGCCCTTGGTAACCTTGCCACACCTTCCCACAGTTCTGTTGGCTTTCTCCGGCTGCCCTACTCAGCCTGTGCTCGGGCTTCAAGGTGCTGGGGCCAGTGCCACAGAGGAGCGATGGAGGCTGGAACCCCGTGGTCTAGTGGGAAAGAACTCAGGGGAACCAGGGTTCAAATCCTCTCAGTTGATTCGACCTCCAAGGCTCAGTCTCCTCATCTGACAAATGGGTCCCTGCTGCCTAAGGCTTCAGTGAGAGG